CCTCCACCCGCCTTCGGGCCAGCCTGGAGGGCTGGCCAAAGTTCCTGCTAAACCGAGAGAAAACAATTTATCCGCACTTCCCAGCCTCCCTCCCGCCTCCCACCTGCAATTACACGTTTCTACAGTGTTTACCGGAGGCTTTTTTAGTTTTTATTGTGGGGAAGAATACGGGTGACACGAGGAAAGACACGACTTAGGGGCTCTCGGCCGGCACCCTGCGGGGCGAGCAGAGAGGTCTTTCAGATCAGCGTCCCCGGGATAGCCAGTTAACATATTGAACTGTGCCCAGCTGCTCCGTCAAATTTCGAAACCCCAAGAAGTCCCCTTTTCTCCACCCAACCGCAAGATCAGGAACTGAAACAGTCCACCGAGTCTCAGTGTACAGAATTCAGAAACCCGAGCTTTGTCCTCTCTCTCTCTCTCTTTTTTTCTTCTTGCCGGTTTTTGTCCAATATTTCCTGGTTTTATTGCTTCGAGGTTGCTCACATGGGGTCCACGTTTGGAGCTGGCCGACTGGGAATACTCTTGTGCTTGCAGGTTTTTTCCCTTTTCCTCCCAGTGGGCCTAACCAAAGGTTCACATGCCTCTCTTTCCACCACCCCCCACCCCACTCCCACGTTCCCTTCCCGACGCCCCCATTGCCCCGCTCTGCTCCGGGGTCGTGCCCCCTCTCCAACCCCCCACCTTCTCCTCCTCCTTGACTACCTCCTTTCCAGAACATGAATAATTCCGCAGCACTTCCCATCTGTTATTGCCATAGAGACAGAAGCTCGGCAAAGATAATGATGTTCTGTGCAGAGCCAGTGGGGGGAGAACAGCATCTGCGAGTCTGGGGGATAGATTTTCTAACCGCAAAAATATTCAGAAGGCCTGGCCCAAGATACGGTTGGAAAACTGGACAGTCCTGACACTTGGCATCCGGTCAGCTTGCGGCACCTGGGTCTTGTATCTAGAAAGAAGACACAGTTTTTAAAAACCAAAATGACAGATTTTGTAAAGTGATTCCGAGAGCAATTAGTGATAAATATTTTGTACTCCTTTTACCAACCATAAAAATAGTACTAGCATGTCCAAAAGCCTGAAGACCAAAATAAATTGCACAGTAAAGAAGATTTCTGAGATATCAAACACATTATGCCTCTTTCCTGTATCCCTTTTCTTTTTGATTTACTTTCCCCAGGAAATTGTGTTTGGGGACAGGGTCTTTGTGTCTTTTGTGACTTTATGTACAATGCTTTGAGAAATAGTAAGAGGCAAATGTGGCTATTACCAGCCAAGCTGTAAGGGCATTTTTTTCTTATTCATCAAAGTACAAAATGTGCCAGATTAAAATTCACTTTGCCATTGAATTTCCAAGGTTTCGGCCTGAAAGGTACAAGTTCGAATGAGTGCAAGTGAAACTAAGCAGGGTACATTTACGTCTGATGCAGGTGGGAAGGCTCAAACAAACCACATTTTTGCAGAACTACTTAAGGATTTCAGAAATTATCAGAATTGGTTGTATAATACGAAATTTTAACATACTGAAATAATAAAGGGTTTCTATTTCAGAAACATTGAATGGACACACAATGCAGAATTTAGGGGGAAAATAAAAGCACTATGAAGTAATGAACAGTATAATTCCCATATACAGAGGGTCTTCACCAGTGTTGAAAGTATTTAGCAATTAGTTATTACGTGTTTTTTACCTTAGCTGCGTGCAGAAAATGAGCAAAGCAATGTAAGAGTGTTTGCCTGGGTGCAAATGATTGGGGGACCGAAGGGTGGGGAGACAGGGAGTGAAGAGTATTGTCCCCATTAGCTCATCTTCCATTAAGCAATACAGACAGACAATCCCAACTAACTGGTACTAGGTAATCTAGAATTTCTTCTTCTGACCGTCTGGTCACACACACACACACACACTCACACAAGAATTTAGAGGTTATGACTTCGAAGACCAGTTTTGCCC